CATTCTACTCATTATACTTGCCTCTTCCAGAACATTGTGCATATACTACATCACCAGCATACATGAACTGCCCCTACACATCAGGAATTCGGCAACCAAACATGCAACACCCATACATGTTAAGCACCTGAAGGTTCTTATCGAGGTCACATATTTTGATGTTGCCTAGCACCCACCTACTATTACCGGGCTAAATTTACCCATTTGGTTAAATGGTCAAATGACCAACCTGTTTGTGTATCAGGCTGTAAGCTTGTTTACTGCAACATGGGCGGCTAACTCACTGCTGCCCCTGCTGGACGTCACAGGAACTGCAGCTTCGTGTTTCAGCCGGTTATTTATACTACAGCAGGATCATTTAAATTAAATAGTTATATTTAAAGTACTTTTAATCTTAAAATAAATTAAAACATCTATGTTTTAAGTGTTTCCAGTACGATAATAAGACTGTTTTTAATGTTTAAATGTGTTTAGGTCACTGATTTTAAATCTTTATGAATCGTGTTGTGGGTTCATCCATCCATCCATCCATCCATCCATTCACTTCCGTTTATCCTTTTCAGGGTTGCGGGGGGCGCTGGAGCCTATCCCAGCTGCCATAGGGCGAGAGGCGTGGTACCCCCTGGACAGGTCGCCAGTCTGTCGCAGGTGGTGTGAAGTGCAACTGCTATTGCATCATCTGTAGAGCTGCGCGGACCTCTCTGTTAACCCACGGCTTCTGGTTAGGGTAAGTTTGTACAACAGCCTGCAGTACGACGTCATTGATGCATTTAAGAATACTCAGCATAATTGTTGGTGTTGTTGTTCGCGGCAGTCCGGAAGACTTCCCAGTCTGTGATGCTAAAGCAGTGACGCATAAAGTCTGACAATAAACTTTTTACTGGGGAAAAAAGTTTCAATCAATCAATCAATCAATCAATCAATCAATCAATCAATCAATCAATCAAGGCTTTATTCAGCACATGCAGGTTGGCCTGCAGTGAAATGGGACCCCCCCCCCCCCCCCCCCCGACCTTACACACACAACACAGACATCACATGGGGATACAGGTTGGAGATCGGTTGCAGTACAGAAATGTACACTACAATGGGAAAGTACAACAGCTCCCTGACCTGCACTCAATCTACAGCAGGCGGTGCTGGACCAAGGCCAGGAAGATCGTGAAGGACCTCAGCCATCCCAACAACAGACTGTTCTCTCTGCTGAGGTCAGGAAAGCGATTCCGCTCCCTGAAGACCAACACAGAGAGACTGAGGAGGAGCTTCTTCCCGCAGGCGATACGGTCAATCACACCACCACACAGTACTGACCCACACATACAGTGGGGCAAAAAAGTATTTAGTCAGCCACCGATTGTGCAAGTTCCCCCACTTAAAATGATGACAGAGGTCAGTAATTTGCACCAGAGGTACACTTCAACTGTGAGAGACAGAATGTGAAAAAAAAATCCATGAATCCACATGGTAGGATTTGTAAAGAATTTATTGGTAAATCAGGGTGGAAAATAAGTATTTGGTCAATAACAAAAATACAACTCAATACTTTGTAACATAACCTTTGTTGGCAATAACAGAGGTCAAACGTTTACTATAGGTCTTTACCAGGTTTGCACACACAGTAGCTGGTATTTTGGCCCATTCCTCCATGCAGATCTTCTCGAGAGCAGTGATGTTTTGGGGCTGTCGCCGAGCATCACGGACTTTCAACTCCCGCCACAGATTTTCTATGGGGTTGAGGTCTGGAGACTGGCTAGGCCACTCCAGGACTTTCAAATGCTTCTTACGGAGCCACTCCTTTGTTGCCCAGGCGGTGTGTTTTGGATCATTGTCATGTTGGAAGACCCAGCCTCGTTTCATCTTCAAAGTTTTCACTGATGGAAGGAGGTTTTGGCTCAAACTCTCACGATACATGGCCCCATTCATTCTGTCCTTAACACGGATCAGTCGTCCTGTCCCCTTGGCAGAAAAACAGCCCCATAGCATGATGTTTCCACCCCCATGCTTCACAGTAGGTATGGTGTTCTTGGGATGCAACTCAGTATTCTTCTTCCTCCAAACACGACGAGTTGAGTTTATACCAAAAAGTTCTACTTTGGTTTCATCTGACCACATGACATTCTCCCAATCCTCTGCTGTATCATCCATGTGCTCTCTGGCAAACTTCAGACGGGCCTGGACATGCACTGGCTTCAGCAGCGGAACACGTCTGGCACTGCGGGATTTGATTCCCTGCCGTTGTAGTGTGTTACTGATGGTGACCTTTGTTACTTTGGTCCCAGCTCTCTGCAGGTCATTCACCAGGTCCCCCCGTGTGGTTCTGGGATCTTTGCTCACCGTTCTCATGATCATTTTGACCCCACGGGATGAGCTCTTGCGTGGAGCCCCAGATCGAGGGAGATTATCAGTGGTCTTGTATGTCTTCCATTTTCTGATGATTGCTCCCACAGTTGATTTTTTCACACCAAGCTGCTTGCCTATTGTAGATTCACTCTTCCCAGTCTGGTGCAGGTCTACAATACTTTTCCTGGTGTCCTTCGAAAGCTCTTTGGTCTTGGCCATGGCGGAGTTTGGAGTCTGACTGTTTGAGGCTGTGGACAGGTGTCTTTTATACAGATGATGAGTTCAAACAGGTGCCATTCATACAGGTAACGAGTGGGGGACAGAAAAGCTTCTTACAGAAGACGTTACAGGTCTGTGAGAGCCAGAGATTTTCCTTGTTTGAGGTGACCAAATACTTATTTTCCACCCTGATTTACCAATAAATTCTTTACAAATCCTACCATGTGGATTCATGGATTTTTTTTTCACATTCTGTCTCTCACAGTTGAAGTGTACCTCTGGTGCAAATTACTGACCTCTGTCATCATTTTAAGTGGGGGAACTTGCACAATCGGTGGCTGACTAAATACTTTTTTGCCCCACTGTATGGTTCTTACACACACACTGGACTTTCTGGACTTTGTTTCACTTCATCACTTAAATCACTTTAAGCATATTTGCACTGCACAAGACATAATGTAGATTGCACAACACTGGTCACTATATTCTTCATTTCCAGTTAATACTTGTACAGCTGCTGTTATTGTGTATATATTTATTTATATTTATATTTCTTCATACATTCTTAAATAGTTCGATATTGTGTATTTTGTTGTACAGTTATTTTATTTTCAACTTTAATTTATATATTTTATCTTATTCTTTCCCAGTTAAATTTACCCTTCATTCTAATTTGTGTTGTAGTTATTTCATTTTTAACCTTAATTTATATTTTATTCCTTCCTAGTAAAATTTACCCTTTTTAATTTTTCATATTTATTTCCTATCTTATTCATAGCCTTTTCCTTTTTTGTTTTCTTTAGGTCACGAGCAGTTGTCCAAGCATTTCACTACATATCGTACTGTGTATGACTGTGTACGTGACAAATAAAATTTGAATTTGAATTTGAATTTGATTTGAATTTGATTTGAAAAAGAGACCTCTACCCATGCTGAGCTCCTGGGAGGACAGCATGAGAACAGGACGCAAAAAAACTCCTCTTCACAAAAAGCACATAAATGTCCACAGCACAACATTATAGAGCACATGACCAGCAACAGGGTTGGGTAGGGGATGAGGAGTAATCCGAGGCAAACACAGCAGCCATCCTGCCCAGCGCAACCATTCCCGCGTGGGCCCAGACCCGCCGTGTTCTCCAGGAGGGAACAAACATCGAAGGCGTTTGGAAAGGGAGGGGGGATGAGTGAGTGCCTATCAGTGTATGTGTGTCCAGAGTTCAGCTGAGACAGTGTCCTTCGCCCTGCCAGCCTAAGTAAACAGTCCTCCAGCCAACCCAGGTGGCCTTGCATGGGATGGGAAGAACAGTCTAAGCACAGTCGTTATCAGGGTGTTGTTGTTCAGCTCCAGACTTGAGCCCACAGCTGGCACTGAAGGGATAGCCGCATTATGATGGTGCTTTTTTCTTCTTTAGTGCGAACAACTCATGAGAATTTCAAGCTGTTTTTAACAGTCCGACACTGATCTCTCACTGGTTTCAATCCCAGTGTCAGCCTTGTGGGGGTTTGAACAGCTGGTTCCGCTTTCTTAATTCTTCGATAAGCCAGGGCCAAGCCAGCTCCGATAAGCCAGAACCCTGTTACCATGGTTCAGAATAGGTAGATATCTTCAGCGTCTTCCATTGACAGTCCCGCCAGACACACGATTCTCCATTGCTGCCACCCGTCCATCGTGTATCTGGCAGGGAAAGTACCTCCAGGAAACTCAGGCTCTCCCGAGCCCAGACTTCTCGTTGAGAAAAGGGTGTCAATAGCATTCAGGGACCAGTTGATTGAATCCATAATTCTCTTTTAGGTTTTAGAGAACAGACTGTGGACGAGTGTTCAGGGTAAAGTAACACAAAAAACACGAGACTAGTTGAGGGCATAAGAGCTAAGCAGGGAAAATAATGGAGAGGAGGAGAGGAGAAAAGTGCGACCACCTTCGCCGAGAGCCAAGAGAGAACACCTTGTGATTTTATGACATCATGTTATAAGACATTAAATTATTATCAACAACATTATCAGATTCTCTCCATATCATGTGTATTTATGGTTGTAAGTGGCTTACAGTCACATTTATTATTATTAAAGATAAATACGCTCAAGTTCATTCAGAATAAGTTGTTTTTGTATTTATTATATCTAGTATTAAGTCTTAATATCTAATGTGTGTTCAGTCATATCTTCGATATAAAAGTCTTCACTGAGCGTTTGATGATGTCAAATGATCTCAGGTCTCATGACCTGCTGTTGGACAAACTGAGCTTTGACTCTGAATGCTTCACACTTGTCACACTTTTAATTTCAGTTTGTGTCCCTGATGTTTGTCGTCTGCACTGTGGATGTCTGATTTCGTTTTTCAAAGTTTAGCCTGCAGATGTGTTACAGTGTGTGTGTGTGTGTGTGTGTGTGTGTGTGTGTGTGTGTGTGTGTGTGTGTGTGTGTCTGTGTCTGTGTCAAGAGGTGTCGTCATATGATCAGCTGAGGTTCTCAGTTCAGTTTCGCTCATCTCATCATTGAGCTGCAGACACACATCGGGTGAGTTTTTACTGTTTTTCACTGAATTTTAATCTCATTTATAAACTTTAAATTTAAACAAATTAGTTTTTAAATCTAATCTGAGCTTTGAATGAAGCCTCTGTTGCACACAACATATCACACAGCGCTCACTGAGTTGTCTTTATTTAACTTCATACTGCGGACAGACTTTTATTCTGAAGGCACATAAACAGTAAATTATTTTTTTAGCCTGGCTGACTTTTATTTGGAAAGTCTTTTATTGTAAATATTTTTGCAGATTGAGGTTTAAATTTAGTGAGAGTTTAGTCTGTGGGTGTGGTGACAGACCAGCAGCTGACACTGAACCATGTTCATCTCATATGTTTCAAAGTAAAAGACACTTCAGCAGCTGGACATCCTCAAATCTGATCATTTATAATTGGAGCAAAAATCAAGCTTAATCTTTTTGAAATTGTGAGTTGTGTCAACAAAAAATACATTTTCTTTTATGGGTTTTTAAAAAAAATTTTAATTAAAAAACAAACCAAATACTTATGGAAAAAATAACAATACACATTCAAGAGAAAACTTTAAAGTAGTTATTCTAATTTTTGATTTTTACTTTATTTTGTTTATTATTTTACAGCAGGGGTGCCAGAAGCTTTATAGCTTCTAAAATGATCAGGTCCAAATGATCTGCCTACTTTAAAAAATGCTCAATACATAGTTATACATATATTTAATTAAACAATATATGTCATGTGATCTGCCCATGATACCTTTGTGAGCTGCGGGTGGATCGACAGACTCGGAGGTGTTTGTGGATTTATTATCATTGTTTTTCTAATAATTATATTTTTTCATATCAGTTTGATGATGTTGATGTTCTTTTGCCTCAAAGTATTTCTAAATTTATGTTTAAATATTAAAGACTTACTGTGGCTGGCCAGGCAAAATATTTTACTTCTGATATATTATAGCTTTTTCATAAATATATTGGGGGTTTTCCTGAAAAAATATGTTGCTTTAAAATATTTCCAGCTTCTTGCTTTAATAGGAATTTACTATTTATTTATTAAGATATCTTTTTCAAATTTCTCATTATATTGAATTATAAAACCTTCATTTTGTTTGTCTAAAATGTGTTATCACAAAATCTGGTTCTAAAGATTTGTTAAGTGAAAAGTTTTTTTAATCTGAAAACTTTTGTCTTTTTCATGCTTTTATTATCAAAGTATTATATATGCACTATATTTTTCTAAAATATTTTATTCATTACTTCAAGTATTTCTAGAATATCCTTACATTCTAACAAGTTATACAACTTAAAAAAAAGAAAACCTTGTTACTAAAAGCAGAGGACCAACAACGAAACCCTGAAGAACAACTGCCACCTCATATGACTGTTTGATTGATTGTTTTTTTGATTGATTGAGTGATTCCTTTAGTGTCATGGAGCATAAGCTGGATCTTTCCCGTCTAACGGATGAAGAGGCCAAACATGTTTGGGAAGTGATTCAACGAGATTTCAACCTCCGCAAGAAAGAAGAAGAGAGACTCAGGTACTCGTTCCCACACTCAGAGTTTTCATGTACAAATATCAGAAACATTACTAAAGTTTCAGGGTGTTTTTCAAACTGAAGCTGAAATATCAGCATTAATAATAGCACACAGAAAATTCTTGCTGCAGAAATACAACAAAATAAATAAAAAAATGCTTTGAAGCTTCTACACATTTTAATGGAAGTTTGAATATTGTTTGTATTCAGTGTTATTAAAAATTGGGCAAAAAACGGGCAAATCAAAAATCAATCAATGTACAAAGAATCAGAGAGTGAATTAAGTCCTTTTTAAAACTGATTAAGCATCAAATATGTTGTCAGGTTAGTGAAACAAAAGTAAACACAGTAAAAACAAACAAACTGAAATGATCTTCAGACATTCCCTCAGTGAATTTTGAGCTGTTTTTGGCATGCTTTCCTCTCAGAGTTGCTATTTTTAAGTCTTGGATCAGGGGACTCCAGGCCTCGAGGGCCAGTGTCCTGCAGGTTTTAGATCTCACCCTGGGTCAACACACCTAAATCAAATGATTAGTTCATTAACAGGCTTCTGGAGAACCCCAAGACATGTTGAGGAGGTCATTTAGCTATTTAAATCAGCTGTGTTGGATCAAGGACACATCTAAAACCTGCAGGACACCGGCCCTCGAGGCCTGGAGTCCACTACCTGTATCTTAGATAAACCCCAGACTTTCCCAGACTTTCTCTCTGTGACTCTGAAGCTAAACTTTGTGTGAGTCCTGGAGTTTGAACCGTTTTCGTTCATGTGAAGTTTGCAGGAATTCCAGCGTGAAAGACGTTGTTGTTGTTGCACTCGATCACGCCCGGGTCACACGGAGTTGCCTCACAAAGACGCTCTGTGTCTCCTCCAAACACTCCAACTCCCATCAGCCCCCGGGGGGAGGGAGCAGCCTCACAGGGACTCATGACTGGAGAGAAATCATCAGGAACATGTTGTCATCTTCATCCTTTAACAAGCATACAAAACAAACCGAGAAATCAATAAAAACTGATCAGAATTCAACATTTAAAACTATGAAAGAAGCCAAAATGAAATCTGTAAGAAGACTTTTTTTATACTGTGGACTGATAAACTGGACAGGTGAGGAGTTCAGACTCTTGGGAGGGATTTGGACTAGAGTTCAAAAGGAGCACACTGCCAGCTCCTACCAGGAGGAGCAGGCCTGATGTAAATCCGGGACAGCAGGAGAGATTAGATCCTTGGGCTGGCCTGGGAAGGCCTCTGTGTTACTCCAGATAAGCTAGTGGTTGGTGGTTGCAGAGAGGGAGGTCTCTCTCCATTCCTGTCCCTGTGACCCATTGCCAGATAAACAGATCTGACTTGCAGTTGTGGTCGTCACATACTCTGAAGGTTTTTGTGGCTCAGCCCCTCCATGGTTCTCAGTCTGAGGCTGGTGGGCCTCCATGTGGACATTACTAAAGGGATGGATCACAAGAAGCAGGGAGAACACACGATTCATTCAGAGCCAATTATTGAGGGGCTGTGGGTGAGTCACAGATTGGTCATTTATCTTCTTTATGACTGCTGTTCCCTCTCTTCTCTGTGAAAATGTAAAGAACCGAAGTCTCACGTTGTTTTTTTTATCAGTTTAATAATTAATACCTTCATCCAACAGTCCATGGTAGCTCCATCTCCAGAGGGAATCAGCTCCTTGGTTCTGGTTCGTCTTCCTTTGTTTTTTATTCTACCTGTCAGCGAGGTTCAAGGTTTCTATAAGATCACCTGGAGTGGAATTTGAGTTGTTGTTTGCACCTTGTGATCTGGACCTTTGGATATTTGGCATCAGCCGACCTTTCCCGTTTTTGTGGAGCATGCTGCTGAGGTTTGATCCTTTGGTGCTTTACTCTGATCACGAGCCTGATTGAATAAAGATAGGCACAAACCAAACATAGCCAAACATCTCAAACACAGATTTACCTACTCTTTGTCCTGGAAAGCAAATCCATCACCACACTGTTCTTGAGAAACGAAATGTCAATGCCTTTGTTTCTAGTGTTTGATCTTCCAGATCTTCATCATCAGGTTGTATATAGCATTCGTATTCTATTTTATCTTATTGTATATTTTTATTCTATTTTATTCTACTGTATATAGTATATTATTTTATTCTATTCTGTACAGCTGTGTACTGTATTTATTCTTATTGTATTCTAATTTTTGCGTCATAACTTTTGCACTGTCCACTTCCTGCTGTGACAAAACAAATTTCCCACGTGTGGGACTAATAAAGGTTATCTTATCTTATCTTATCTTCCTTCAGATCCTCAAAATTCCTCAAGAAGTTCTCTGTTATGGTTTTAGTTGTTTGTGCATTCCTTGGATTGGTCAGAGTGTTCTAATTTTATGAAATCTATGTTCATTTGTTATATTTGTTTAGGGAGCTGGAGCTATTTTTGGTGAAGTTTCCAAACCTCAAGGTCTCTACTCCATGATAAACTCGGGGACTATCTTTTCATGTCTTTTGCAGTGAGCTGAAGAGTAAGATTGAGAAGGAGGACTCAAAACGAGAACTGCTGGGCTCTCAGAGCAACTTGTCCGACTCGCTTTGTATCCGCTGCCTGCAGCCCTTCAAGTTCCTGGTGAACACCAAACGCCAGTGTCTGGACTGTCGCATGTACACCTGCAAGTCCTGCAGCCGCTACAACAAGAAGGAGCACGGCTGGGTGTGCGACAACTGCCGCATGAACAGGTGAGCCTCCGGCAGCGGAGAGCACTGCGTCAGCGTAAGCTCAGAGTTATTTGGTGGTCATGGTAGTTTCTTTTATGGTAGATGTTTATCATATTCTCTATATTCTGCACTTGTGTTGTTCAGGGTGCTCAAGATCGGGACTCTGGGCTGGTACCATGACAACGTGAGAAACCGTTTCAAACGCTTTGGTAGTGCCAAAGTGATGAGGTCATTGTACAAGAGGCTGAACGGAGAAGGTGAGTTTGCCTTATGTTAAAGAATTCAGAGATAATGAGTCAACTGTGAGCTTTTTAGGGTTTTATTGAAGTTACACGCTAACAGACAACTTGTGTTGGTGCTTCAGGTGGGCGTGATGATGACACGCAGAGTATGCCGGATGTCCACAGTCGTGAGTTTCTTAAATGTTTTACTATTAATAGATTTTAATTGGAAATTTTCTTCCCATTTACCATGCTATTTATATGTTACTGTCAAATGTTCCTGGTAATTAGGGTTAGGGGTTAGTATGTAATGTAAATATGTAAGAAAAATTGTGTATGTTTCTTTTCCGTGTCCTGTGTACTGTTTGTTTGTATATTTGTCTTTTTGGCTGCTGTTACAACCAAATTTCCCCTTGTGGGACAATTAAAGGATTATTCTATTCTATTCTATTCTAATTATGGGCAAAGGTTCAAATTAATCATGTAAAGGTAACAGCTGCTGGTCCAAAGCTAAGACTCACCAAACGTCACCGGGACTTAGCCAATCAAAAGAACATACGCTCAAAGGCTTAGAGTAGAGAGTAGAGTACCAGAAAGTACAACGACTACCAGAAAATTAGAGGTCATCCAGGTCTTTAAGACATTCCTGCAGTTTAACAACCGTATTTTCCGCACTATAAGGGGCACTTAAAATCGTTTATTTTCTCAACAATCAACAGTGTGCCTTATAATCCGGTGCACCTTATATATGAATTCTGGTTGTGCTTACTGACCTCAAACCCATTTTATGTGGTACACAGCACTCAAAAATCTGTCAAAAGTGTTTTAGTGGCGATCGTGGCTCAAGAGTTGGGAGTTCGCCTTGTAATCGGAAGGTTGCCAGTTGGAGCCCCGGCTCGGACAGTCTCGGTCGTTGTGTCCTTGGGGACACTACACCTGTTGCCTACTGGTGGTAGTCAGAGGGCCCGGTGGCGCCAGTGTCCGGCAGCCTCGCCGGGTGGATGACTGCTTGTGTAAAGCGCTTTGGGGTCCTTAGGGACTAGTAAAGCGCTATACAAATACAGGCCATTTTAGTATGACTTTGGTAAGCTACGAAGCCACACCGCTTGATGTATTACAGCTACAGTAGTCAGGAGCCTCACGGGGTAATCTGGGTCCAAAACTACAGTAATTGGTGTGTGTTATCTGGCTTATAGATAATGTTGTGTGTGATCTGCATAGCAGTGAAAATACATGTCTATTCACACGTACAGTGGGATGCAAAAGTTTAGGCAAACTTGTTAATAGTCATTATTTTCCTGTATAAATCGTTGGTTGTTACAATAAAAAAAATGTCTGTTAAACATATCATATAGGAGACACACACAGTGATATTTGAGAAGTGAGATTAAGTTTATTGGATTTACAGAAAGTGTGCAATAATCGTTTAAACAAAATCAGGCAGGTGCATAAATTTGGGCACTGTTGTCATTTTATTGATTCCAAAACCTGTAGAACTAATTATTGTAACTGAAATTGGCTCGGTAAGCTCAGTGACCCCTGACCTACATACACAGGTGAATCCAATAATGAGAAAGAGTATTTAAGGGGGTCAATTATAAGTTTCCCTCATCTTTCAATTTTCTCTGAAGAGTAGCAACATGGGGGTCTCAAAACAACTCACAAATGACCGGAAGACAAAGATTGTTCACCATCATGGTTTAGGGGAAGGATACAGAAAGCTGCCTCAGAGATTTAAGCTGTCTGTCTCCACAGTTAGGAACATATTGAGACAATGGAAGACCACAGGCTCAGTTCAAATTAAGGCTCAAAGTGGCAGACCAAAAAAAATCTCGGATAGACAGAAGCAACGGTGAGAACAGTCAGAGTCGACCCACAGACCTGCACCAAAGACCTGCAACATCATCTTGCAGCAGATGGAGTCACTGTGCATCGTTCAACCATTCGGCACACTTTACACAAGGAGATGCTGTATGTGAGAGTGATGCAGAGGAAGCCTTTTCTCCGCCCAAAGCACAAACAGAGCCGCTTGAAGTTTGCTAAAGCACATTTGGACAAGCCAGCTTCATTCTGGAATAAGGTGCTGTGGACTGATGAAACTAAAACTGAGTTATTTGGGCATAACAAAGGCCGTTATGCATGGAGGAAAAAGAGCACAGCATTCCCAGAAAAACACCTGCTGCCTACAGCAACATATGGTGGTGGTTCCATCATGCTGTGGGGCTGTGTGGCCAGTGCAGGGACTGGGAATCTTGTCAAAGTTGAGGGACACATGGATTCCACTCACTATCAGCAGATTCTGAAGACCAATGTCCAGGAATCAGTGACAAAGCTGAAGCTGCGCCGGGGCTGGATCTTTCAACGAGACAACGAAACACTGCTCAAAATCCACTAAGGCATTCATGCAGAGGAACAAGTACAACGTTCTGGAACGGCCATCTCAGTCCAGACCTGAATATTATTGAAAATCTGTGGTGTGAGTTATAGAGAGCTGTCCATGCTCGGAAGCCATCAAACCTGAATGAACTAGAGAAAAGAGGAATGGTCCAAAATACCTTCAACCACAATCCAGACTCTGATTGTTGGACAACATCTTCCACCCCATGCATGAGACTCTGACAGCACTGAGCAGCTCCTTCACTGGCTGCAGCACCCACGATGTGGAACGGAGAGATTTCACAGGTCTTTCCTCCCCACTGCTGTCAGACTCCACAACAAAGACTTCAACTGATTAAACACATCCACACATGTGCAATAGCAATAACACTAAGTACAATACTCTTTCTGGCATCGTTGTATTATACTCATATTGTATATAGCATTTGTATTCTATTTTATTCGATTGTATATAGTATTTTATTTTAATTTATTTTCTTCTATTCTATTGTGTACAGTATCTTATGAATATATTATTCCAGTGTTTTTTTCTTCTAATTTTTCTATGCAACTTTGCACTGTCCACTGCTGTAACAAAACAAATTTCCCACGCGTGGGACTAATAAAGGTTATCTTATCTTATGTTATTGGAACCTGCAGGAAGCGTTTAGAGGCTGTAATTTCTGCAAAAGGTGGATCTACTAAATATTGATTTCATTTCTTTTTTTGTGGTGCCCAAACTTATGCACCTGCCTGTTTTGTTTAAACAATTATTGCACACTTTCTGTAAATCCAATAAACTTCATTTCACTTCTCAAATATCACTGTGTGTGTCTCCTATATGATATGTTTAACTGACATTTTTATTGTAACAACCAACGATTTATACAGGAAAATAATGACTATTAACAAGGTTGCCCAAACTTTTGCATCCCACTGTATACTGTGAATAGATTTGCTCCTAGTAAAGAACCTTGTGGAACTCCATAGTTAACCATGTGGTATACATACAAATGTGTACACATTAATAATGATTTGCTTTTTTATAAAGCACTGTTCAAAATTAGCTGTGGAATCAAATGGTTCAAAAGGAGCATCATCTAAAACTAAAACTGGACAGAATAATGACAAAACATGTTGCATTTTCAGACGCGTATAATGGCAATGAGGATGATCAAGGAGAATTCGAGGGTCAGCGCTACAAAGTGGTAATAAACATAAAAGTGATAAAGATGTGATTCTACATCTGTTTTATGAAATAATCCACATTCAGGCGTAACGTGATGTGTTTTCAGATGAGGAAGAACAAACGTCTGCTGTCTGTTCATCCTATGGACTTTGACAATGAGGATTATCTGCCTCACTCACGGCGTCCGTCTGTACAGGTAAGTCAAAGTTATGAAAAGCAAACATACAAAAGAGATCTAAAACCATGTGTGTAACTTTGGATTCACAGCAGCAGCAGGATGATCGGTACTATAGGAATGACGTGGACTACGACCATTACAGCCACAGAGGAAACCGCAGGAAGAGCCTGGACCGATATGCCATGAGACCTGGTCAGTATACCAGCATACCAGTCTTCCAGCAACATGATGCAGGTCCCAAAATACACAACCAATTTCACATGTCCAACAAAATAAACTGTTTAAACCACTGTGGTCTATATGGGGGTTACTGGGGCCCACAGAATCTGTCCACCATGATTTACCTTCCCACAGAAAACTTCTGGGAGTAACTCTATGGAAATGCGGGAATTAATGGAAATGCTGTTTGTCCTGTAGCTGTTTTCACTGGGGCTCCACCTGCTGTCTGTTGGAGGAATCACAGCTTTTGTTTCACAGATTTATCACATCAAACAGATGCCTTCAAAACAAGCCTGTGAGACTGGATAACTAATTGCAAATTTTACTTATTATCAGGTTTAGAAAAAATTTCTACTTTGGATGTCCGACATGCTGCTTTTTATTTCCAACATGTACATTTACCTGAATGTTTTTACCTACCTGTCCATCTTTGTAGATCTGCATCCACCTGGGTGTTTTTGTGTGTCCATGTTTACCTGTGTTTGTTATCAGATGACAACGGAGAGAATCGGATGGTCCGGACTCGTTCTCTGTCCAAGATTACCTCGTCGGTGGCTCGGCAGCAGTACATTGACACATCAGACGAGGAGGAGTACCAGAGGTACCCGCAGATGTACCAACAACCACCCCACCGCCGAAGGGGCAGTAGAACCTCCTCCCAGGAGAACCTGGGACAAGCCCCGCCGGTAAGGACAATCAACCAGTCACTTTAAGTTAAATTTTGGTGGCATAAACATTGGATTTTCTTCTCTTGATTCTTGGAAAACCTGTTTTAATTCTATGTTTTGCCTTTTTTTCTTCTTCATGGTATTTTGTACAAAAAGTTTCAGTCCGTATAATCTCAGCCATAAAGAACCAGGAGATATTGTTAACTGACACGGAGTCTTTTTGTCATACAAAATCATCTCCTTGGTGTTCATGTTGATTTTACATTGCAGATAAATGAACTGAGCAAACGAATGTTGGCCATCGAGAGTCTGCTGAGCCGCCTGGAGGAAAAGATTACACCTGGTGTAAACGAGGTGAGATGCGATGATGATGTGGGATAATGTGAGATCATTTCCTGAAACCAGTCGGTACAAACATTCTGTAACTTTGTTTTACAGCAGGCATCAAATCCATCAGCTCAGAATGAGGAGGAGAAACTGAGAAGGAAGCTTAGTGAGCTGGCGGGGAACCTGAGCGATAAGGGCCCGTCATCGGACGACGAAGCTGGGAAGAAGTCCTTTTCTGTGGGTAAAGGTTTGGCCGGACTGAAGGGTGGCCCAGCAATCGCTCTGAACTCCCGGAAGAACAAAGAACTGAGCTCATCCAGTGATGAGATGCCCACTGAGGCTCAAAAGGTAGGAAGACTGATTCAGTCCACTGTTTACAGAATTAATTGAATTCCAACCCATAAATCCAGAGAATGGGAACCTGGAGGTTTCTCAGACCACCAGTGGATCCGATGTTATAAAAAGCTTACTTTTGGATCAGTGCACAATCATTTAATGGCAAATTCGTTTTTAACATTGTTTTCAAAGAACAAAATAAAGTCTAAAAGGTTTTTTAACTCTTTATTTTGTCCGATGTCTCATAAACATCCAGGTTCCCACGTGTGATACATTCAGTGCTTCTACAGCATGGCTTGGCTTCTCCCCAAAAACGCTGTTTTACTCCATCTATAACGGGTCTGAACACCATGTTTCTTGTTCATTCTCATGTTTTTGTCCTCATCCACTCCTGAAAATACTGAACGTTTCTCTAAACTTCTCATTGGTTTTCTTATTCCATCTGTGACAAAAAAATAATAATGAGAAATGAGGTGTGGTTCCTGTCCTAGTAAATCCACATCTACAGACTAGATGTCCAGTGACCTCCTTATGGAGGAGAACTCTTTCTGATGCATCACGGACTAGTCCTCACTAACCTGCTGCCTCCTGCATTGACTAACAGCCGTCTGTTAGGTTACTGTTACTGTGAAGCTCAGCAGCTACCTGCCTGGACCACATGACCCCTCACCTGTACAGGTGTTCACCTAAAAACTAAACCTCTGCTCAGTCATGTGACACCAAACAGAAGGAGAAATCTGTAAAAGCACTGAGTGTTGGGAAACCTCTTCGTCTGCCTCTGAATCATAGCTGGGGAATCAGCAGCATAGTTTTTAACACTGTAGTCAGGTCTGTCTGAAACACATGCCACCATTTTAGGAACAAAAGGTGTGCACCACATTTAAAAGTAGAAAGTTTTTTTTATGTGCAGAGTCCTTTTTAATCGCAACATGACCTCCCAGAGACACAAGTCAGACACAAGAAATGCTGTGGTGCTGTGGGGCATCCAGCCCGGTAGCTGCTGCAGGATGGGATGTTGTTTTCCAGCTGCTAACATCTGTCCCTCTACATGGCTTTCAGAGATCGACTGCCGCCGCCCTCTGTGACCTCACCACTGAGGTCCTGAGAACCATTAATGCCACAGAAAACGCTATGGTCGAGTACGGCCTCTCAGAGCCGATCGACAGGTCCCACTTAGTAGGCACTGACGTAAAGCAGGCCGATGATGCGTTCAGGGAACTTGAGGAAAATGTAAGCCTCCAACATGAACTGCACACCTCATTGTCCCTGAAACCCAACCCTCTACCTCGTCCGAAGCATGACGGAAATGTCTGGACTGGCTTTAACCTTCCCGGCTGTTGTGTGTCCGTCCATCAGCGACAGGGCTGGTGTCGGTCAAACACACTGGGTCCAGTCTCAGTCCAGTTTGAGTCCAGTTACAGCAGTTCTAGATTTAGGAAAAGGTTACGTGATCATTTGAAACATGCCCCAGAACAGTTGGTAAAACCAGGTCGATGCTCATTATTGTTCAATAGCCTTAAAGCTATCAGTAAAAATGACCCGTTAGGAGAATGTGTACAATATAAGGGATTTGTTCTAGTTTCATCATCAGGTCATAATGTCATGACTGAACTCTACATCCTCTGATGAGACCAGGTCTTCTCCTGTTACCTGTTCAGTGATTGAGTCAGTCAGAGAACCAGTGTGTTTCACTGATGCTCAGGCCTGTCTTCATCATCATCACCATCATTCTCAGTGGTCTGGAGGCGTGTCAGCTGACCCAGGGGTCTGTCCTGTTACCTGTTTAGGTGTACATCACGGCCGGTCAGTCCTACGAGCTGGAGTCGAAGCTGCGGCGGCTCGAGCAGAGTGCCAAGAATCAGTTTGGAGGGGCGACGGACTCGGAACTGTCTGACCTTGAGGACGTGGTGGCACTGACCGCCGCCAGAGTCCAGAGTGCTGAGAGCGAGGTGGGTCAATGGCTCTGGATGGACATGGTCATGTTTACGCGGTGTCTAGGAACAAAATGGCTGATGCTGGAATAAACACAAATTTCTTACAGGAAGCTTTTCAAGTCTTCCTGTTTTTAATAAGCAAACTCAACAGTTTCCCTTCATGTTTGTTCCATCTGCAGGTCTCTGATATTGAGAGTAAAATCGCTGCTCTGAGCGCCGCCGGATCCAAGAAGAAGGTCAGTGTGTGAGGAAATGATGTCAAGGTTACATTAACGTGTGCTCACTCACAGGAACAAATAAAAAAGTTATCGGGCTTCAGCTGTTAGACGGTCATCACTTTTCTAGTGTAACCTTTTTGAAGGGAAACTCAGAGCATAGACTGGACTGAGTTACTGAAGAGAAATAATGGCACTGGATATCGGTACCCATCCCTAATTTTAACATGGGAGTATATGAGGACTGAGTCACTGCTGGAGCCTCTAGTGGACACCAGAGGAACTGCAGGTTTTGGTTTTCAGAGGTAGACGGTTGACTGGATGCCATGTTAGCTGCGTGGAAACAGTTTCTTTCTAACATCACTCAGGACTAAGTTAAAAACTTCCATGTTTCTTTGCAGGTTTCAGGAACTCAGAGAAAAAAGTCGACTCAGGATTTTCAGAGTAAGAAACACACTCACGTTGCTTTCTGCACGTTTAAAGTGAAGAAGCTGAAACATGTTACAGTCACGTTCCAGGCCATGACATTACAAAGTTGTGATGCGTGTTCGTTAACAGCGAAGAACCGTGTTAATGAGCATTTCTTGTTTCAGAAGCTAACGGCACTCAGTGGAAATCCAGCAACATGTTCTGAAGCAGAAACAGACCTTCAGCAGCTGCTGCTTGCTCCTCTTCGTCATGAAGCCTTCATCATAGAGCAACTCAAAGAGCAACTTTTATCTGTAACTGCTGCTGCTTATGTGTTAGAAACATAACCCATGATTACAGCTGGTAGATTTAGACAAAATATGAGAAAACGTGAAAAAGTACGTACCAAACTAAATGAGTATTCAAATGTACAGTCATTACAATATTTTTTGAAGCTCAGAGGCAGCTGGAGAGAATTACATGGGAATGAAGTAACATGAAAATGTTTAAAAATGTATAAATCCAAAATATTTCGTTTTAACACTGACAAAGTTTCGGCTTGTCTCAGCAACGCAAAGCCCCCAGCATCCGACATCAGCATGGAGGAGAGGAAGGCACTCACATCACTTAGTGATGACAACAAAATCATCATCCTTCCGGCAGACAAGGGCAGGTGCACAGTATTGCTAAACCAGAAAGACTGTCATGAGAAAATTTTGTTACTACTCAGTGACAAAAATACTTATGAGCCCCTGAAACGAGGCCCATGAAGTGGACTGTCTGTCTGAAGCAGTTAGAACAAGACGATGCTATGGACTTGATCTCATACCACAGGCTGTACCCAGGGTAATCAACACCAAGTCTGTATGGTTTACCGAAGATACATGAACAGGATGCACCTTTAAGACCGATTGTCTGTATGATCAACTCGGTCACCTATAACAACCCAAAGTTTCTGACTTCGATCCTCAACCCGCTGGTAGGCAGCTCTGAACACCACATCCAGAACACCTTGGAGTTTGTTGAGAAGGTGAGAGATGTCATTATGGAGGCAGATGAAACCATGGTCTCGTACGATGTTACATCTCTTTTCACTTGCATCCCAGTCACGGAAGCGTTGGAGGTAGTAAGAGATTACAGGATGACACCAACCTTAGCAACAGGACCACTCTCAGCATCAGGGATCATATTTTCCACATATTTCACATACAAGGGTCAGTGTGCCATGGGTTCCCCAGTTTCACCCGCTGTGGCCAATTTGTACATGGAAGAAGTGGAAAAGAGGGCTTTGCTATCCTACCCTGGAACACCACCAAGTCATTGGTTCGGGTATGTGGATGACACCTGGGGGGAAATCAAATTTCAGGACGTACCACAATTCATGTATCACATTAACTCGGTGGACCGACACATCAAATTCACCAGGGAGGATATGAAAAGTGGCAGGTTAGCCTTCTTAGACTGTGACATTTCCATCAGTAATGGGGGACATCTAAAAGCTAAAGTGTACCGGAAACCTACGCGTAGGGATCAGTATGGCGCGATATGGCAGCCTCGCTTCTGTCAGTCTGCCCCAGGGCAGCTGTAGCTACAACTGTAGCTGCCTCCACCAGTGTGTGAATGTGAGAGTGAATGAATAGTGGCATTGTAAAGCGCTTTGGGTGCCTTGAAAAGCACTATATAAATCCAATCCATTATCTAAGGTTTGACTCTCATCATCCACTGGAGCACAAACTGGGTGTCATCAGGACGCTACAACACAGAGCGAACACCATCCCCACAGACACAGCAGTCAGGGAAGCAGAAGAACATCACATCAAGAAGGCGCTGAGTAGATGTGGTTATCCTAGCTGGACATTTGTCAAAGCTGGGACGGCACCGAAAGAAAGCTCCAGCCAATCCAGGAGAGAAGGGCAATCAGTGCCTAAGCAAAAACCTGTAGTGATCCCGTACGTGTCAGGAGTATCAGAACAACTGAGACACTTTTTTTCTAAACACCGGGTCTCTGTGGCTTTTAAACCCCAAAACATGCTGCACCAAAAATTGGTCCACCCCAACGATCGGTCCTCCAACTCAAACAGAGTAACATAGTGTACGCTGTTAAGTGCCAGGAGGATTGCCAGGACTTATACATCGTGGAAACCAGACACCCTCTGGCGAAGCGGATGGCACAACACTGAAGAGCCACCTAGTCAGGGCAAGACTCTGCAGTCTAGTCACACCTACAGGCCAGTGGACACTCTTTCAATGATGAGGATGTACAGATCCTGGACAGGGAGGAACGCTGGTTTGAGGGCGGAGTCAAGGAGGCCATTTACGTGAAAAGGGAAAGACCATCTCTGAATTGAGGAGGGGCCTAAGGGTCACCATCTTACAATGCTGTGATTGCAGCCATTCCCCAATTCTCTGTGAATGGTACTAATGGCCATTGATCAGTGGGCTTTGATCAATGCTCATGAGTATTTGCATATTAATGATCAAGGAACTGACTTCCCAGCCCATTGTTCCTTCAGTGGGCTGGTTTCAGTCATTATGCAAATGTCCTGTTTATAAGATTGAAACCTGCAGTCAGCTGAGACTGAAGAAGTCACTTGGATGAAACATTTCTCCCACTGAAAAAGTCCAGATGAACAGAATCAACTTTTGGTGACTGACAGAAGACAGATATAAAAACTTTATTTCAAAATAAAATCTATTAACTTTAAAACCATTTCTAAACGTAATCTCCTCTGACGCAATTTGATTGGCTCAGACAGACAATTCACTTTTTACTTTTATGTTTAATTCTGGCACCACTGAGCTTCTATAGACTTTGGTCAGCTGTTTATTAAACTTGTGTTTGTATCACTGCTGATACGATCAATAAATTTGAAAATCAAACCCTGTTCTTATTTGATCCATGTATTGATTTTATGGATGAATGGTACTGATCATCAGAACTGATCACATTTAGAGTTTAACATATTTAGTTTCTTTGATTATTGATAACATTGATCTGCATTTGCCTTTGTGATCCATAAAACATCAAATCAATTCTGCATTTTTAACTTATTTCATATATTCATGAGAAAATTACAGGATTCTTTACCATCAGTGTGTTCAGCCTTGAGATTACTGAAGCAGTCCATCCTCTGACCAGCAGGGGGCAATAATTCCTGCAAAGGAGGGTGGATTCTACATAAAGGAGAAGTGGACTATCTAATCCATAGAGGGCACTTTGTAGCTCCTTTTATACGAGCTCACAGTGTGTCCAAGTACTTAGAGTGTCTAGTTACTGGCTAATGACATCAGGCAAACCCATGAAACACTCCAAATTCACTCAGCTCCAATAAAAGTGTTAAATGTACACACGTCATGAAAAAGAGCATTTACGAGCTAAGTTAGAGGCTAGCAGAAAGTTAGCTAGCTAGCTTGTAAAGATGAAGATGAACCATGTTGTGACTGAAGGACTTCTACAAACATGAAACATACAGATGTGTACAGACTGGTAGAGCTTTGGACGTAAACACAGGTGAAAAACTAACCAGCATGTGAACTTTTTTTATTTACGAACTTTACTGTTTGTTCAGCTCATGTTTGATTTCTTCACACAACAAACTGTGTGTGTTTTTATTTCCAGTCTCACAGTCTGGCAGAGGCAGAGTGTATGCATTGATGAAAGGACCTAAAATGCAGACACAAAGAACATGGAAGAAAACTTGAATATTAACAAAAAGCAGGCTGTTTAATATAAAAAAGGTGGAAAAACAAAAATCAGATACACACAGGGGAGAAACTAAATGCTAAACACGCAACGAAAAAACAAAACTTAGAATGTCGTAAAAACCTGAACACAGAAAAAAACCCGTAGACACGGAAACATGAGGAGAAACAACAGACGACATGACAATGAATGAGCAGAAACACACAGACTAAATACACACAGGGGTGATTAGGGGAAGTGGAAACACATGGGGAAACAGCTGACACAAAATAAAGCATAACTCAAAACGCTGGGTCGAAAGACCCAGGATCGTGACATCCAGTTTCGTGCCAAAAACTGTTGCCCCATTTATGAGAGCGCGCAAAGGAGGAGGAGCCACTTGCCCAGCTCCGTTTCTGTATGCTACTTGTCACTGATCTGCAGCCGTTGCAATAAAGCACTTTAATGGTAATTTAGTGACATTGTAATGTGCCGTGCGGAAGACTATTTACCCTAAACTGTGCACTGCAAAAACCTGCCGGGAACAGTTTGAAGAGGAGGTTGAATGGAGACATAAGGATGGGTTCCAGAGTTTGACAGACATAATAATCATTTGTTATTGTCACACTATATAAGCTTTATGGCCCGATGAGGGTCATCCTTTGTGTGAAGACAGATGTTTGATTTAACACAGAGGTCCACCGCTGTAACTTGTAATTTCAGCTGCTGAAGCAAATTAAATCTTTTTAAATTAAAGATATTTCTCCTGAATTCTTTCTGAAAAATCTGAACATGTCAGTAGATGAGTTAGTGAAAAGATAACTCATTTTCTTGCAACTAAAATCAATTCTGAAGTAGGATTTGTCCAACTCAGACAACTCAACTCAACTCAAACCATGGCAGTTTGTCCTGAAACAACTGTAATCTCCACTCTTATTCTGAAAATGATCAATAATATTTGTTTTCTTAATGGTAGCACTGGTTTAGCTCACTGAGATGAGCAGAGCGGGTGGTGAGGGTTCGACTGTAAATATAAAGACCCGAAGCACAGCGAGTCTCCGACCATGTGTTTAGTCTGAGTTACAGCTCTGTAAATGTATTCCTATCGCTGCTCAGATACTGTGTCCACACTGACATTTGATTATTAAATGTCAGCTCCCTCCAAAATAAGAGCTTTCAAAAACAGTCACATCAACTGATTTTATTTTGAAAGTCAGAGTTTGTTGAAGCTGATGAAACCAGATTTAAAAACACTTCATGTCATCTGTGTTCATTCAACTGACATCATGCAGTTCATCTTCTCACCAGCAGAGGGCCACAAATCACCATCCATGAAAAGTTCAAGGACATGTAAGTGACATCAGAGCTGTACATATTGATCTGATCAATATGGAAGTTCATGTTTCTTTGATTGGATCAGTTTTTAAAAGCAGCTGTTTTTATAGAATGACGGAAACATGAGATATTCTGAATGCCTTTAATATTTGATACACTGAGCACTACTGGATGTCCACTTATTCACCCATGATGGAAAAATCCCATTAAGAAAGAGAAACCAGACATTTGGATTCATTTTAATGAGCTCAGGCTTGTTGGAAATGCAGAGCAGCTGTGCCTGACTGAACAAGGACCATCATGACAACAGTCCAAATTCCAGGACTGATCATTGTCTCCACACAAACAGTCTTCACTGTCTCCTTTCTTCTGTAATTCACTGATATATAAACGTCTTCTCTCCACTCGACCTCCCAGTAACAGCGACCAGTCAGACCATTTCTACACAGCAGCTGAAGAAAAACTTCAAATCTGATCAGGATATGACTGAATCTCCTCCACACTTGTCACATTCCTGTTGTTGTCAGACAGTTGGAGGTTTGTGTTCACTGTGTTTGTGTCGATTGTGAGTTGACAGGAATCTGATGGAGAGAACAAACACAATCCAGCTGCAGTTTTTGATCCATCATCTGTTCATTGATTGACACTTTGATGATGACTCCTGATATCAGAGATGTGACAGTTTGAAGATGGTTGAATGTGTGCTGCTTTGTTTTCATGAATCACATTAAAAACACACTTACACTTCCTCACAAGACCATAGGTCAAATATTATCTTCAAGTATATTAATGGAAGTTTGTGCCACTTGCTGTATGAACACATGTTGATCAATACTGTTTGAAAATGTAGTAATTAGGATCAGTAAGTAACCTTAAGTAACCTCATCGTGGACTACAGGAGGAATGCTGACCCACATCCACCCATCCACATTAAGGGGACGGCTGTGGAGCGTGTGAGCAGCTTCAAGTTCCTGGGAGTCCACATCTCCGAGGATCTCACCTGAACGACCAACTGCTCCAAGCTGGTCAAGAAGGCTCACCAGCGCCTCTTCTTCTTGAGGACTCTGAGGAAGAACCACCTGTCCTCAGACATCCTGGTGAACTTCTATCGTTGCACCATCGAGAGCATCCTGACCAACTGTATAACAGTCTGGTACGGGAACTGCTCTGCCTCGGACCGGAAGGCGTTGCAGAGGGTTGTGAAAAGCCGGAGCACCACTTCCTGCCATGAAAGACATCTACAGGAAGCGGTA